GTCCCTACCCTCCCTTCACCCCCTTCTCCCCTCCCCATCTACAACCACTTTATTTCCATCTTTTCATTATGGGACATTTTATACTTAAACCACTTTGGTTTTTTATTGTTTTGTGTTGTTTTTGACTCACACCCTTGCAAGTGTGTTAACTTTAATCTTGGGCAAACAACAGCTAATTCAGGATTAGACATTAAGGCACTCCCTTCTCTCCAATCAACTGAATCAATGTTGTTTTTTTCCAGAACCCAGGTAGCTGCAGCCAGCTTTATTGCTTTCTCTGGGAGGAAATTCTCAAGTCAGATTTTTATCTACCACCCACAGGACAGTGGAGGTGCCCAGAGTCCAGAGTGGCTGGGACTCATTGATTTCCTCTCCCCACTTCCCACCTCAGAGTCCTGCTCTTTCCTGGCTGTGTGACCTTGGAAAAACCTCTCCTGGTTCCACTGGCATTCACTGCCACCACTCCTGTCATCTTTCTTCTTAGCAGTACCCTTATGTGATTGTCACTCTGTGGGGGGAGGGCTTGCCTACCAAGGAAAATGAAGGCTTCACTTCCTAGTATTTTGTTCTATTGGTTTACTGAAGAAAAAATAAACATTTTTCCTCTGCTCCCACACCACAGTGGCTTCAAGCGATATGGGAGCCAGGCATGGTAGTACACATCTGTAATCTCAGCTCTCTGAAAGGTTGAGGCAGAAGGGTTACAAGTCTGAGCCCAGCCTGAGCAATTTAGCAACTTAGTGAGACCTGATTTCAAAATTTTAAAAAGAAAAAGAGAATATAGGGGAAAGAGAAAACAGGCCAGCACTCTGCAGTAGTGGATACAAGCTCAGTGTCCTCTAGACTAATTCAGTTCCGACACTCATGTACCTTGAGCAGTGTCAGGTCCCACGGTTGAGGGCTCAATCCCACCTTAGATATCAGTTGCGAGCCCCTGTGCTTCTGATCCACTGGCTGCAGATGAGGGTTCCTACATTCACCTCCTCCGGTCTGATGGATCTGCTTAAGTGGCTCACAGAACACAGCGAAGCACCTAGTGCTTTATCATAAAGAATATTGCAAAGGATACATATGGAGATGCATGTAAGATAAGGTGCATGAGAACTGTGGAACTTTGGGACCTCTCTGGGATTGTCACTTGCTTAGCTGTCCAGAAGCTTCTGAATCCTACCTTCTTAGGGAGCTGTTACTATATAGGCATGGTTGATTCAGTCATTGGCCATTGGCAATCAATTTAACTTGGGCCCTTTCCCCTTCACGTCACTTGGGGAGAGGGGCTAAGGGTCCTACCTCTCTAATCTTGCTTTGGTCTTCCAGTGACCAGTCCTGATCCTGAAGCTACCTAGAGACCACCAACCATCTGGTCAATGCATTAGCATAGAGAGAAACACATCCCTTTGGAGATCCAAAGATTTTAATAGCTCTATGGCAGGAGAAATGAAGACAAAATGGTATTTTGCAATATCCCAGCAGGAGAGTTTAATTGCTAATATTTGATGAGTGAACATTACGAGACAGTCCCTGCTAAGAGTTTTACATTGATTACCTCATATTATCCTTTCAACAACCCTGACATATGGGTTCTTTATCATTTCCACTTTATAGATCAGGAACTGTAGGCATAATTTCCCAGGATTGCACAACCAGTAAGTGGCCGTCCCATAATGGACGAGATGGAATAGTACATCTTCTTGTAAATCTTAGCTATGTGTTTCTGGACTCCACCTATGTACTGATAACTCACCTGTGTAACAAGGTACAAGGGGCGCAAAGAGAATACCATTAGTGGAGACAAAGTGGATGAATCTACTAGTTCAGTAATAAGGTCTTATCTAAGGAGGAAAGGAAGAGAACAACAAGAAATAACTACAAGGAAAGTGATGTCCCCAATGTGCAGTTACCCAGAGGCAAGACAATTCTGGGAAGACATGAAGCCCCTCCAAATCATGTGTTGCTTATCACTATCAGGCTCATTCTGGAATCCTTGTCTTGTTGTGTGTTGTGTCCGTTTCCTTTTCCCATCACCCAGTGTGTTCTCTAAATATTCATTAATTCAGCAACCATCCATTTCTTGTTCGTTATGTACCTGGAACAGGAATGCAATTATTGGTAATAAATAATACAGGCTCTGTTCCTGCCATAGAAGAGATTACAATCTAGACACTACCCCAAAAAGTGTTAATTTTGATAAAAGAAGCTCTCTAAGATGTCCTAAATTTACGTACAAGGACCAGAGGATGAAGGGGATGGGGGAGTCAGGAAAGTTAACAGCTGCAGGCAGCACTGACAGGAAGACTATGGGGGCTGAAAGGTTGACTTAGGTTGAGTAATGACTGATTACAGGTTGGAGACCATGGTCCTCATGAAAAGGGTTTCCTGGAGTACCAGGCTGGTGTGTGGGCCTCCTTGCCTCCCACTGTTGAAGAGACAGCCCGCCCGCAGGCTAGAGGACACCACAAACATTTAATGTGACACTTGGAAATCGGAAAGCCTTCCCTAGTTTGACTTGCAATGTCCAGATTCAGCTTCTCATATGTGGTCCTTTATCCTGGCAGCCAGTCCCAATCTGGCCAGCCTGCTGCTGACTCACTTGCTTCCTTTAGGACTGGCTCCCCTTACTCCCAGTTGCTATCCTGGAGGGACACTCCAGTCCCTGAAGGTCCACAGAGGCTGGCACACTCACAGTGTGGTGCCCATGGCAGCATTGTTGGGAATGGTGGAACTTTGGCACAGCAGCCTTGCTGGAGTCCTCACCACCTTTGGTTCCCTTACAGGGCACTGGGGAACTCAGCCCCACTTCTTCTGTGCTCCCCACTGTGATGTCAGTGGTTTGACCCCACCATGCTGAGCTGCCTTGTCACAGACCAGGGGCCACGGAGCCAATCAGCCAGGGACTGGATGCCCCAAAGCTATGAGCCAAGTGAGTCTGTCCTGTTTATGAGCTGACTGCCTCAGGTGCCTTGTTACAGTGATGGAAAACTGACTGATACACAGGGGAAAGGTATTTTAGATCTTCATCTGACAGTTCTCTAGTTTGCTAGGAGAAAATCATGAAAACCAAGGCTGCTATTATGTCCTGTAGAGAATTAACTTCCAGATTAATCTGGTGAGTTACAATAGACCCACCAAACTGTTTACAGAGTTGACTACTGACACTTACCCAAAACATCTTGGCAGAGAGGCCAACAGTGTTGTATATGGCTCATCTTTAAGCACTTTGTGTTCTTTTCTTTATTTTTAATTATTTATTTCTTCTTTTTGAGACACGGTCTCCCTAGGTAGTTCAAGCTGGCCTTGAACTCACTATGTAGCCCAGGCTGGCCTTGAATTCTCAGCGATTCTCCTGCCTCAGCCTCCTGAATGCTGGGATTACAGGCGTGAGCCACCATACCCCGCTATACTTTTTTGTTTGTTTGCTTTGAAAAAGCATCTCTCTCTGTAGTCCTTGCTGGCCTTGAACGCACAGCAATGCTCCTTTTTCAGCTAACCAAATGCTGTGATTACTGACTATACTTTTTGAATTTAATCTTTCCCCACGCTGTATGGGGAACATGGTACTATTATCCCTAATTTACAGATGCAAATCACCGAGTTCCAAGAGGTAAGAAAATGGTCCCGTGGGCAATGGGGCCTGAACTAATAGAGAATCTATCTTACAAACACCTACAGCGGTTAGCAAACTAAAACAAATTGGGTTGTCAATACAGGAGTTTGCAAAAGAAAAGAATAGGAATCATTAGAAGGGAACTAAAACTTGGTAAGTTTTACCTCAGGGTAGTTATAAATGTGAAACAGGCTTTAAAAGCTCAGGATTTAAACTTTAGAAATGGCTAGTTGTGGTGGTGCTCACCTGTGACCCCAGCTACTCAGGAAGCTGATACAGTGGGATGGAAAACTCAAGGCCAGCCTGGACAACTTAGCAAGACCTCGTCTCAAAATATAAGATAAGGGCTGGGCATGGTGACACATTCCTAAAATCTAGCACTCTGGAAACTGAGGCAGGAGGATTGCCAAGCATACCATCTCAAAAAACAAAAGCATACAAAAACAAAAACAAAAAAACAGGAAAAATGAGTTCTAGACAAGGGAAGTTGCAGACTAAACAAATGAGAGACCACCCTATACACAAGATCACAGGATGTTCCTATAACAAAGGCAACCTCTGCTGAATCCTGAAACACATTAAAAAAAAATAATTTATCTTTAAGGGAGAGCCATCAGGCACTACAGTGTGGCAATTAGTACCTCCAGGAACTATAGAAAATACAATAATATGAAATAGGCTACGACAAATTATTTTGAAAACAAGTTAGCATATGAATGAAGGAAGAAAAACACAAGGTAACAAGAATTACAATTTTTTTAAAAAGCTAGTAGAGCCGGGCATGGTGGTGCACACCTGTAATCCCAGCACTCGGGAGGCTGAAGCAAGGAGGATCACTGTGAGTTCAACAGCAGCCTGGGATTACAATCAAAGAGAGGGTAAGCAACTTGCTTGAGGTCAGTCAGCTGGGCAGGGACAGAGCCGTGGCCCCTTTGGCCTGCTTTGTTCTGGGTTTAAGGGTATAAATGTCAGTTGGTCCACACCAATGAGACAGGAAAGTAGGGCTGGCTGGCTGGAGAGTAAGCATAATTACAAGATTTTGGACATATGCTCAGAACAGGTCCCAAAGCCCCAAATGCGGACCTCTCAAAACTGCAGCAGGTTTTCAATAGGATGCCTGAATGTGATGTCAGCCTGAAGCATGGGTTCCCCAGGCTCTCAGGACCCGGATGTTGAAATTCTTGACTTCAGTTTCCTCCACATCCACGTGGTGAAAGCTTTGCTGTCTTACATCTCCAGGACAGCCCACTCTGTTTCCCAGACACAACATGTGCTCTTATCTTCGCCTTTACCCTCTTTTTCTATTTACTCACCCCAAGATGGCTAACAGAGCTAGTTTCTCTCCTATGGTGAGCCATCATGGTGAGCCTTGACAATAGGCCTAGCCATGATTGAACTTTGAGTCATCTCGCCGGCACGGACGTGCTGTCGCCCACACCAATGGGCAAGTTCAGCTGGTAGCAGATGTAACCCATAATGGTTGTTATCCTTTCCCCCTGGAATGTGTGGGCGGTACTCTCGCTCCCGTGCAGCCCTCGCTCCCATGCAGCTG